GGATAGGACTCAAGTGGTACAATATTGAATAATTGTTATCGGGAGTGATTGTGAGGGTTGGAAATGTAAAGGTAGACATTTTGTAGCAAAAGGAGGGGAGTGATTGAATTTGCAGTCCAGGAGCGGAGGTCCCTGGGACCATCAAGGGAGAAGAGTGGAGAGTGGTACCCTGTACAGAGAAGTGGTGACTCCAGAGATGGAGGCAGAGATGATGACATGGAGAGATGGAGCAGCTGGAGACTCTAGACCCGGAGAGGGGCTGTGTGCTGATGACTGGGGCGCAGGCTTGCAGGGTATACCCTTTGGTTGGTAGATGATGCATGGAGGAGATGGTAACCATGGCAATGTAATGATACACAATAGGATGAATGTAAAGCTAATATTCTCTCATGTAAACTATCACATAATTCACAATAAAAAACTTTTAAAAAAGCAAGGGAAACCTTCGAAGGATGGGTCGTCACCGTGGCTGCCATAGTGAAGAGGGTGCAGGGCCGCGCGCCATTTTGGTCCGTTGTACATCAAGGCTCTATGGGCCAGAGCAGGCCTGATGGAAATCAGCCACATCAATACCATTGCATCTAAATCTGAGACGAAGAAAAGTGACCTCATTTAGTTCGTAATTGCATGTAAGGATATATGAATCTGTATTTGTCTGATTCTCATTACCTCTGCTTTTTTGTCCCCCATAATTGAGACATCTCTGCCATTTCCATTGATGAAATTGTGTTTCGTTCCCCTCTTCAGCATCTGCAATTCTTTGTGAAGTGTGTCACTTATGAAAATAGGTCTTGGTTGGACACTCTTATAGGGATTTTATGTTTTAATGACTTTGGGAGCTAATGATATATCAGATGTTCACACAAGTCCATAAGACTTGGGTAATCGATTTCAAACTTGTTTAGAATTCTGCGTATGCATTAAAGTTGAGTTACTCTTGTGAGTTTCACTGTATCTGAGACGATTTGTGTCTGTCTGGGAAATCATTTAGAATGTTGTTTTAATAAAAAAACAAGTGGTCTTCATCAAAGCCAGGACAGGGGTTATAGACCACACACAGATATCTAGACCGACAAGGGCAGTTCTGTTTGACGCTGGTACCCCTCCCAGCACCGTCTGTACGAACCACTGCTTTGTCGGATCTCAGCATCATGTTTGAATATTCCTTTTTCTTGTCTTCTTTCCAGATTAGCACCACTCTGCGGACAGGAGCCTGCAGGAGGCATTAATGTCCACACCCACAGACCCTGGCGCAATGCCCCACCCGGGGCCTTCGCCGGGGCCCGGGCCCTCCCCAGGACCAATCCTGGGACCCAGCCCAGGGCCAGGACCATCCCCGGGTTCCGTCCACAGTATGATGGGACCAAGTCCTGGCCCTCCGAGTGTCTCGCACCCGATGCCGACCATAGGATCTGCCGACTTCCCACAGGAGGGTCTCCATCCTGTGCACAAGGTAAGGGCTTTTCTCCATTAGCTCTCTTCTGTGTCATGGTTGTTACTGAATCTGCTCGAACTCATGGCGACCCCACGTTTACAGACTAAATCTGAGCTCCACAGGTAACACATTGCCTGGCCTTTCTTCTGAGGTGCCTCTGGGTGGATTTGAAACCACCGGCCTTTCAGCTAGCAGTAGATTCTGACCTACAGCGACCGTGTAGGACAGAGTCAAACAAAACAGCCTCACAGAGTTTCCGAGGTTGTAAATCTTTATGAAAGCAAACTTCCCCATCTTCTCAGAGCAGCTGGTGGGTTCGAACCACTGACCTTTCCATTAGTAGCCACGTGTTTTAACCACTGTACCACCAAAGTCTTTGCTAAACCTATAGATTGGTTAATACAAGGAGGCTTCTAAAAGTTCGAGGAAAATGTCAGTCTCTTTTCATTCTATTTTCCCACAAACATTTGAAATCTTGCATTTCTGTCAGCTCCTTTTTAATTTTTGAATATTATAAATGGGAAGATTCAGCTGGATGTTTGTGGTGTTCATTTATTAAAAACACCCATTGGAGGGCACTCGCATGGCTATCAAGGCGGTACCAGTAGGAAGATCAGATTTGGACTTTTTTTTTCCCTGATGGGATTAAAAGAGGTTCTTTTACTACAAGCCACGGGAGTCTCTGAAGGGAAACAGAGGGGCCTTCTTGGTGTCCTTCAATCCTGCAACATAGTAACTACTATGCCCTCCTCAGACCTACAGCCTCATCTAAACATGTTTGTTTGTAAACCTTTTATTGTGAATTGAGGACTCCTGGTGTGGCACTGTAGGGTCACCACCAGACTATGAACCACAAGGTCAGCAGTTCAAACCCAGAAGCTCCTCCTTGGAAACCCTATACAGGGTCGCTAAGTCAGAACGGACTTGACAACCCTTAACATTGTGAACTGAGTGAAGGTTTACAGAGCAGATCATCAGTTTTACATTCAACAAATCACATATTTTGCTTCATTACAATGATTGCAATCCCCCCCACGTATCATCAGTTAACAGCGTTGTTCTCTATTCACTTTAACTCGTACATTCCTCCGTGTGACTCCCCATTACCTTTGCCTTTCCTCTGCTAACCTACCACTTGTTGTATATTGCCTGAGATTTGTTTTGAGTATATGATTTATAGGCAGGAGAGATTTGAGCAGGGTGAATTAGTATATTTGTGAGTAAGTTTTGCTTTTATCCTTCTCCCTCTGTATTAACTCATATTATCCACTAATGAACATATTGAAAAGTATTCTTCCCTAAAAATGTCAACTTTAATCTCAGAGAGTTAAAGGAAAAAAAAAGGTCATTTCCTAAAGGTTTTTGATTTTTTTTTTTTTAAGTTTTTTATTGCAATAAAATTGTCTCTGCAGTTCTTCATATGCACTGGGTGGTTTCTTGCTGAGGTCGCTTACTCTGGTTTGGGACGTGAGTCTGGACGGGGTTTCTTGTTGCTCTTGTGAAGTGCTGTTGAGTCGATTCTGACTCATAGTGACCCTGTATAGTGGTCTTAAGGCTGTAAATCTTTGCAGGAGAGAAAGAGTCATCTTTTTCCCGTGGCACAGCAGATGGGCTAGAACTACCAACCTTGTGGTTCGTGGTCCAGTGCTTAGCCTACAGAGCCACTGCTATTTGTCAGATGCCGTAGAGACAGCTCTGACCGTGCGCACAACAGAAGAACTCCTGTGCAATCTCACAATTGTTGTTACATTTGAGCTTATTTGCTGCTGCCACTATGTCTGTCCTTCTTTTTGGGAGGCCTTCCTTTATTTTTCACTGACCCCTCCACTTTACTAAACACAATGGCCATCTGTAGGGACTTGTCCCTCCTGATAATATAGCTGAAGTATGAGAGATGAAGTCTGGCCATTTGACTTCCAAAGAGCATTCTGGCTGTACTTCATTCAACTCAGATTTTTATTTGTTCTTCTGACAGTCTGTATTACTTTCAATATTCTTAAGCACTGTAACTCAAAGGCATCAGCTCTTCTATGGTCTTCCTTATTCCCTGTCCAACTTTCACATCCATATGAGGTGATTGAAAATACCATGGCTTAGGTCAGGTGCACCTTAGTCCTCAAGCTGACATCTTTGCTCCTCAACACTTAAAAAGGTCTTGTGCAGCAGATTTGCCTAATGCAATATGTCGTTTGATTTCTTGACTGCTGCTCCCATGAGGGTTGATTGTAGATCCAAGCAAAATAAAGTCTTTGACAACGTCAATATTTCCTCCGTTTATAATGGTGTCATGTATTGGTGGTTCAGTTATAAGGATTTTTGTTTTCTTTACATTGAGATGCAATCCGTACTGAAGACTGTAGTCTTTGACGTTCATCAGTAAGTATTTTAAGTCCTCTTCACTTGCAGCAAGCACAAGGTTATACCATGTACATATTGCAGGTTGTTAACGAGTCTTCTTCCAATCCTGATGCCATAATCTTCTTCATACAATCCAGCTTCTGGGATTATTTGCTCAGCATGCAGATTGAATAATTACGGTGAAAGAATACAAGCTTGATGAACACATTTTCTGATTTTAGACATTCAGTGCCCCCTTGTTCTGTTTAAATGACTTCCTCTTGGTCTTTGTACAGATTCTTCATGAGCACAATTAGGTATTCTGGAATACCCATTCTTTGCAATGTTGTAATTATCTTTAGAAAAATTTTGCTTACATGTGATACTGATGATATTGTCTGACAATTTCCGCTTTCTGTTGGGTCACCTCTCTTTGGAATAGGCACAGATAGGGATCTCTTCCAATCAGTTGGCCAAGTAGCTACCTTCCAAATTTCTTGGCACAGATGAGTAAGTGCCTCCATTCATAATATAACAAAGCTGTATCAATTCGTTGAAAGATTTTAATTTGTATTTTACAAATTCTTGGAGTCTTTTTATCAAGGCCCTCGGTGCAACTTGGACTTCTTTCTTCAGTACCATTGGTTCTTGATCATAAGCTATCTCTTGAAATAGTTGAACATCAACCATTTCTTTTTGGTACAGTGACTCTGTATAGTTTCTGTCTTCTTTCGATGCTCTGTGTAATATTCAATATTTTGCCCATGGAATCCTTCAAATTGGAGATCCTGGCTTGGAATTTCTCTTCAGGTCTTTCAGCTTGAGAAATGCTGATTCTCTTCTTCCCGTCTGGTTTTCTAACTGTGGGTTTTGCACATTGCGTTATAAAACTTGAGGTTGTCTTCTCGAGTTGTCCTTTGAAATGTTCTATTCAGCCCTTTTACCTCCTCATTTCTTCCATTTGCTTTAGCATCTCTATGCTGGAGAGCAAGTTTCAGAGTCTCTTCTGACATGCGTTTTGGTCTTTTTCTTCTTTTCTGTCTTCTTAATGAACTTTTGCTTTCTTCATGTATGATATTCTTGATGTCATCCCACAACTCTTCAGGTCTTCAGTCTTTAGCGTCTAATGCATGAAACCTGGACTTGAGATGATCTATAAATTCAGGTCATATTTTGGCTCTTTTGAGCCTGTTTTATTTTCTTTAGCTTTGACCTGACGTTGTATACGATCACTTGATGGACTGTTCCAAAGTCTGCCCCTGGCCTTGTTTTGGCTGATGACATTGAACTTTCACACCGTGTCTTTCCAAAGATGTAGTCAGTTTGATTGCTTTGTGTTCCATCTGGTAATGTTCATGTGCATAGCTTCTTTCTGTGTTGTTTACAGTAGGTATTTACAATGAAAATATGTCATTGGTCTTGTAATAGTCTCTCCTGTGATCTCCAGCATCGTTTCTATCACTAGGGCCATATTTCCAGCTCTTAACCCATCTTTCTTTCCCAATCACCAGTAACTCAGTACACCTTGATTTTTATTTTTTATTTTTTTTTGGTATTCCAATCACCAGTAATTATCAGTATACCTTTATTGCGTGTTTGTTAAACATCAAACTAAAGACGTTGGTAGAATTCTTCAATTTCATCGTCACCGGCTTTAGTAGTTGGTGTGTCAATTTGAATAATAGTGATATTAACTGGTCTTCCTTGTAGGTGTATGGATATTATCCTATCACAGAGATAATTGTACTTCATGATAGACTTTGAAACCCTCTTTTGGATGGTGCCCATTCTCTTCAATTGGTCATTCCCAGCATAATAAAGCATCTGATTGTCAGATTCAGAATGGTCAATACCAGCCCGTTTCAGCTCACTAAGGCCTAGGGGATCAATGTTTATGTGTTCCGTTTCATTTTTGACAGTCTTTAATCTTCTTAGAGGCATGCTTCATACATCCCATGCTATGATTATTAATGGGTTTTTACAGCTGTTTCTTCTCATTATGCATTGTGTCCCATCAGCAAATGGAGGCGGTCCCGAGGGCTTTACTCCATCTATGTTGTCACAGTGAACTCTGCTTTGAAGAACCAGGTCTTCCCCCGTCGTATTTTCAGTGCCTTCCAACCTGGGGGGGCCCATCTTCCAGCACGATATCTGACTATATTCTGGTGCTACTCATAATGTTTTCATCTTACGGCACGATCTCCGACAGGGTTCTGGTTTTATCTTGATGCTTGCATCTTCAGGCACTGTGTCTGTCGATATCCTGCTACTATTTGTAAGATTTTTAGTGGCTAAACATTCAGAAGTAGTCTGTCTCTTCTTCTTTCTAGCTTGTCTTAGTCTTGATGCCCAGTTGAAACCTGTCTACCATGGGGGACCCTGCTGATATGTAAAAAACCGGGGGCATAACTTCCAGAATCGCAAGCCCACACAGTATGGCAGACGAGTGCTAGAAAGCTCTTTATTATGCTGGGTTTATGAGCTTGGATTGTTGCTGTAGGGATGATCCTGTCAGCATAGCTTGGCATGAGGACTTCCTAGGTGATACACAGCAGAGAGAGCTGCTGTTTGAACAAGTAGGTACAGTTTGCTTTGAATACTAGCTAAGCCAATCTTTGAGGTCATTCAGTGCCCCCTGAAGGGTTTGCTTAAGAAACAAAGAGGTTTGATGCCCCCTGGGT